TCACTTATTTAGTGCATGATTTGTAAACTATACATTTTACTATTAGTTTATGTTAGTTTACTGCATTGTAAACTTGCTCAGTTACTCACCTGGTACAGCACTGCATTTGTGATGCAGAGCACTCAGGTATGAGTGCTGTGAAACCAGGGGCGTAGCCATCATTTCAGAAGTGAGGGGGACAGAAATGTTATATATATATATATATATATATATAAAAACAAAACAAAGTGGGGGGGACACGTCCCCCGCGTCCCCCGCGCAATCTACGCCCCTGTGTGAAACTCAAGTCACGATAAAAGAGCTCAAAGACTTGTGGAAGCAAGCTTATGGTGTGGTAGCAAGTGAGTTTTTATCTCTCACTTGCTTTTTTAACACTAATGGTTGGGATTTGGATATGGTTTAGTGTTGGTGGTACATTATTTTCAAATGTGATTAACCTCATAGCACCGCTCACAACAACCAACATAATAAAATGTTACCAGATTCATTTTTATCTGTTTCGGATAAAATTAACACACTTTTATCACTATTTAGTCGATATTTCGATATGTGATTGGGGGCCACTGAATAGAATCAGAATTAATTTACTCCTTTCAATTGCTCCATCAGGTGCCATTAACTAATATTAACTACTATTAAAGAAATAGTATCAGAAATCACACTTATATTTATAAACTACTAAACAGCACAGTACCTGCAGGTAAATGTGGAGATCCAACTCTGCCTATATTTATATGAATTGTATTCATATTTATTTATGCAGAGCAAAAGTAACAGGAATCCACAGCCAAAAGTGCTTGTTGAAAACAAAAGTATTAAAGTATTTTTGTACACAAGAACATAGTGGCTGTGTCTGAAACATAAAGGCTCATTGGAAAAACGTGCCTCTACCTAAATTTCTGCGAAAATCAAAGTACCTATACATTCAATTCACCCTAAAAATACATATTCTTAAAGTATTTATACATGTCCTTTGAAAGAGCTGTAAGAAAGACTAACAATCAACCAGAGTCCAAGAAGGGGAAAATCCTCATGAAACCTTTTCTTTAAATCCATACAAAAGTAAGGGTGCTTTCATACTAGTACTTTTGGTGCTAGTTGACGTCAGAAATATAATGGTGAGAGACTGAGACAGAGAATTTGAATGAGGAATATTGAGGACATTTGAGGCATTGAAGAGCACATGCAAAAATGAGTCTGGTTGGAGAAAAAGTGATGAAATGAAAGGGGGACAATTAAGCATTGTTCTGTGTCACTCACTCCATATCAGATATCTCTTCCTCAAGATTTCCCCAACATGTCTTCAGCCTGTGTATCGGTGGGCACAGTGGGTCAGCTGTGTTCTCTCAATCTTTGATGTTATCAGCTTTCACATACTGCAGCTGAGTAAGTACAGCTGAGTCCTGTCATAGACTTCAGTGATGCTGCTCTGATGATGACAAAGCATTTTCATCTGCTCTCTTTGAAACACTCCATCTCATGCTCCTTTATATACTGATTCCTGACCAGGCTCGATGCAACAAGCGATAAAAGGTACCTCATCTATGTTAATCCCATTTTTATCCTAACAAGCCTTGATATTAGCGACACTATATTTTATATTGTGTCCCACCAGGTAGCTCCATCCAGAATTTCACTGAACCAAAACCTTGCTCTTCAATATACAGTAAATAATGAAACAAACATAAGAGCTGAGAGATTGACTGTAGAATTTTAGAAACATTGGATATTGACAAATTTAACAAAAATTATAAAAAAGCACGCTGTCTGGTGAAGCATAACTGAAATCATGAAAACAAGGTATGTGCCTTTATTTTTATGCTCTTCAGCTATGCAGTATGTTGTGAGTGTGACAGACCCAACTATTTAAGAGAACGGATTCACATACTCTTCTGATTGGCTGCAATTTTGCTGCATTGTACAGCATTTTCACTATTGATGAGAACAGAAAAACAGCTTGTTGCTGGAATCAGGGCCGTAACCACCATATACCAATTAGAGGGAACAATATTTAGGTGCTGCCAGTGTTCTGAAAGCACTTGTAAATGTCAAATTGATTGAAATGGCCAATCACATCAAAGACTGGCTTTTCTGTTCACAGAAGCCAAGTGCAAATTCCAGCACAACGCTTCCGTTTTTAACAATAAAAGAGTGTGAAGTAGCTTAACATTTAATATTTGACATGTTTTACGGAGAAAAAACAATATGACCGACAGTAATAACCAGTGATGCAAGCTATTTACGCTGTTTGGAATTTATGTAATTCATGTAATATAATTTGTAATGGTCACACTTTATTTTAAGGTCCAATTATCGCTATTAACAAACAATTTAACTATGCCTCAATAAACTCCTAATTTGCTGCTTATTAATAGTTAGTAAGGTAAGTGTTAAGTTTAGGTATTGGCAGGATTAGGGATGTAGAATATGGTCGTGCAGAATATGCTTAATAAGTAGTAATAAACAGCCATGTTAATAATAGGCATGCTAATAAGCAACTAGTTAATATTGAGAATTGGTTCCTGTACTAAAGTGTTACATTTGTAATTGAATGTGAGACAAGAAACATTAACAGAAACATTTTTGGCACATTATACATTTGATCAAAAGTGAATGCAAGCATACATATTTTAAAATAAAAATATTATTTATAAATAAAAATGTCCATTACATTTGTAACACCACCTAACCAACCCCCGACCCCCGATTCCCTGGTTGGAATCATATATTTTTAGTATCTCATTAAATATGTTAATTAAGTAGTCAACCTTTGGCATTAAAGTACCTGCATCCAAATATGCCTACTTATCTATAAAGTATGCAAAAAACAGCAGTAGTAAATCAGTAGTATGTCAATAGAGAAGCCATCAACTGCAGAACATTCTGGTTTCCAACAAAGATACTGCATTGGCTGTTGATCTGTGACCAGGTCTAATGTTTTCTATGATTATAGGTTATGGAATCAGTTTTTAGATGATGTCTAGCCACTTCTAGAAATTGTTCAGCATATAATAGCTTCTAAACAACAGTCATGTTTACATTAGGTCATCATGCAGTAATGAGAGGATGGAGCACTTGGGAAGCTTTTAACTCAAAAACCTCACATAGACACACATGCATTACATTCTTCAGCACTTAGATACACACTTTGCACTTAGAGGTCATAAAATCACCTACAAGAGGATGCCTAATGCACTTATATAAACCGACTGAACCATACAGCTAGTCAGCCATGCATGTAGAAATGACATCTAAAACATCAAGAGCATACACCTTTCTTATTCATTTGGTCCAGCCTATGAAAAATATGTCCCTATAACCATGCACTATTATTCGAAGTCTGTGGATGACTGTCTACTTTTTGTATGTTTGATCAGTGTAATTGTATAATAATGTAATGACGGTGGTCAATACTGCTATTTTCCCGTCATGATGATTACACTATTAAATGCTAAATTCACAAAGTGTAAATGTAAAATTATGCAACCACTGGCATGAAAACCGCAACAGAATCAATTAGTAGTATAATATAAGAATTGACATAACAGAAAAACACTGCCAGACAGATACATACAGAAATCCATAATAAGAGATACACATTCTGGAATAATGAATGTAATTAAGCACAGCAAGAGAGAAACGGTACAAGCATATTTCATAGTAACCGCAGCCTGGTTTAAAAAGAAAACTAACATATGGAAAAATAAAGACATGCAACATAAAAGTAAATGTGGCCTGCATGCTACATTTTTTTTTTTAACGAACTAGATATTTCTTGTTTTAAATTTACAATGGAGGGGTAAGCAATCAGATGGCCATTGCCGCAAAATAAACCCCAACAGAGAGAAGAGGACACAGATGTGAAACATATTACACAGCTACTTACTAACTAAATGGACATGAAATATTGATTTGAGTAGAAATTATTTTATTATGTGAGAAGAAAGAGAATGTGGAGTGTCCAGGATTGACCTTTCCATGTTTATTTTTCTGGTAAAGACTTTATGAATAATTATGTAAATTATTCTGTATATGGATGCTTAAAAAATAACTAAATTCATGGACATGTAATTGATTTGAAATATTGATTTGAGATTCTTTGTAGAAACTGTAGAGAAACAAAGCACAATCACAGAGAGGTCAGTTATACTGAGTTTCCCTGGACAACGGTCATTATTCAGAAATATCAGACTGCTGAATGCCACGATTGACCAGTCAGAATCAAGCATCCCAGAGCACCATGTAGGTACTCTTATGCAAAAGGCAATTACAAGATTACATAGATTTTTGTTCTTCTATGCTATTCATGGACAATTTTTAAATCTCTCAAAACAAATTATTATGCTGATAATATCATTTGTAATCAAAATACATTCATTTTCATTACTGGTCTCAGACTTTTGGATGCCACGGTAGCTTTAGATACCTAAGAGCAATGGCACACGGAGTAACAAATGCCCTTCACACATGCAGTCATATACACACATTTATATTCTCCATCTGTCGTGTATGATAATGCATGTGGTTTTGTGACATGGTACTATCTGACACAAGGTCACCCATTTCTTTCTTCCAACAAACCTCCTGCATGTTTCACATAGGAAGTAGCATCTAGTGTGGTATTAAGCCACTTCCTCCGTGCAACAACTATCTGGGAGAGACAGACACCGCTGAAAGAAACACACCCACACCCACTCAATACAACACGTGTTTGACTAGGCAAAACACTCTCAATCATATAAATGATGCTATTTTTGTGCCTGTTTAACCTACTGCTAGGGTGAGATGATGTTTAAATTAGCAATTTAATTACAAAGCCATACAAATCTCATCTGATAAAACAGACAGAACCACAGACATATATACAAAAATCAAACAGAAATACGTAGCTACTACCTTCACAGAAGTGCACATGCAGAGAAAAATAGATTGGAAAGAAGAAGAAAAAGGATATGTAAATATATAAATACATAGAAAAGCTAAAACATGCCAGTCCTCACCAGTTCAACTGACCCATAGTGTTTCCGGCTGAACTCTCCTCTCCGGCACCCAAGATCCTCTGACGCTGAGCTGCAAAACAGCATATAACCATTTAAATTAATTTCATAAAGGCACACAATAAGTTTTGCAATGCAAATCTTTTTATTGTCTTGGTATATTTGTATATTTTATGCTTTTAAAACATTCGTATTGCTGATGTGATTTCATATTGAGAAATTCTCTGACTTATCAACACATGTGAACACCTAGAGCATAAAGAAACGGTATTTTAGTTTCAATACCAGAAACCTGCATTCCAAAAAGTAGAAGCCCCTGTTCAGACGATTTGTGCTACCCGGTCAGATTGTGGTACCTCCCATTAAAAAGATAGGTAGCACAAATTGATAGCGAAAAATGCTACCTATCAGATTGTGCTACCAGCATCTTATTCATGTGGTTTGAGGCTTTTTTAAATGTCCATACCTACCCCTACCCTAAACCTACCCGTCCATACTTACCCTTGCCCTAAACTTACCCTTAAAACAATGCAAATCTATTTTAGGTAGTATGTTTCGTCGGTACACCCTGCCAACTCAAATCCCTGTGATGTCATAGCCTGACACTTTCCGAGTGAAGTAGTTTCAGATTATTAGAGCGAGAACCACATGCTCAGTGACTCAGCTGACAACTAGACATCACACATCTTCCCAAAACCTCAAAGAGGATCTCTCTCATTAAAACCACTCACAGGAAGACCGTAATGGCACTAAAGGTGTGTAATTTCTGTGCCGCTAGCATTGCCAAATAAAATAGCAAATGTTTCCAATAGGTTTCCCAAATATTCCCCATCAGAGCTCAACAATAAGGATGGATGACCCACTAGAGGAACTATCAACTTTCCCTATAAAGTTAATGCAGGTGCATTGCAAGCAACAAAAATATTTACATGCCAGTGTTTTCCATCAAAAGTGTGAGCGATCGATTTCAATGAGTGACTTTAAAGTTGTATAATTTCCAGCTATTATTGCGAATAAGAAATTTTATTTATTTGTAGCATAAACTAGTATAATCAATTATAGAAAATATTTTTTTATTCTAACTATTTCAGCCCTTTCCTGTCTGCCATTGGCTGGGCGAACACATAGTCCCACCCTCAAACTGACGCCATTGGTTGAGCCAGTGTTGCTATGTCAGGATGAGATGCTCAAACCTAAAAAAGCATTGCCAACCTAGTGTTTACTTTTCAGGGGCATCAACCTACGAATGGCTTACTTATAGTTGTCTCTGTATATTAAACTGGGATATGAAAAAAGTATTTCAACATTAATAAAAATAAAAACATCAATTTAATAATGCTGATGTTTTAGTCAACTACTTGTGATTCTGGCAAACTTCTTTTTCATAATATTTGCTTTGTTGAAGACAACATCTCTTCTGACTGAGGTTTAAACAATTAATATGCTGAGCCACATGAGCGCTTACATTTATTATAGGCATTTCACTTCAAGTGCAATATAAATTGTGCATGTGGACAAACACATTTCCTCTGTGTGAGGGCTATCATTATGTTTCCATTAGTGCAGAATGCAGCTAAGAATGTCTTTACTGACAACAGAAGAGATACTGCACATCATGCATGTATATATCGCGGTCTAAGTTGCAGGCAGATTCTGCAGACTTTGTTTCCATTTTGTAAATTTACAGATTTTTATGGATTTAAATATGGTTAAATGTGTTTAACGGTACTCTAATTTAAAGCTAAAAGTGTTATATAATAAGCCAAAATGTTTAATAAATTAAATACAAAGTTCTGCATGTGCCGACCCCATGTGGGCATCGTTATTCACTATGTGTTTCTGATTCACAAGAGTGTGCATGCCTACTTGGTTTATTTATGCAGCTTTAGAAGTTTAAACATAGATGCCTCATTTCCTAAGCTCTTCTGCTATACACCATGAAATGCTCTCAGATGGGTGAAGGGAGATGGTTAATTGAAAGATTGGAAAAAATTTAACGAGATAAAATGTCGACTTCAGAAATGGCTGCATAATCCTGTCAGAATGACCCACTGGTGATTACAGTCAGTTACTTGAACCATATCTCACTTGACTAAGAGCTTTTTAAGACAAAATGCACAAGTGATTCCTGCGAACAGGACAAGGAAGGGAAGGAGTGGCTCATCATTAGATGATTTACTGTGGCACGGGGCTGAAAGAAACCTGCTTCAAATTCAGAAACACAACCCTGGAGGAGAAAACAATTAACAGCTGGACATAAAGACATCTTAAGATGCAAAACAGCTTATTGTTTCACTTGTATCTTCAAACAAACCTTTGATTGTTGCTCATGATTGAATGCTTCCATTGATATAATGAATCACTTCACAAAAATTAGATTATTTTTATGAAAATAAATCCTATAATGATTATGATAGTAGTAGTGCACCGGCAGATGACTGTGTTTGCGATTATGATAATGATGACAGCAACAGCATTACATAATTAGCATAGCCATTACCCTCTGGTAATACTGCGAAACCAAATACGGTCAAGTTTGTTCACAGTAATCACTCCTGTTATGCATCTGCGATAATAATTTTGTGATAATGATCTGGCATGATATCATGTTTCCAGTGATGCAGAGCTCAATGCCTTAGACATTTGCAGACTTGCCACATGACCGAAGAAAAGGCTACAAGTGAAGCTGCCGCAGACAGTCTGACAACAAACGTCTAACAATGCAATCATTACGAACAAAATTGCCCTTTGAGCTTCAACTTTCTCATTATGCACCAACTCTGCTTTAGAAAAAAAAACAGCACTGTTAAAACAGATTAATTTAATTAAGCCAACACTGCAGCAGGAAGTCGGATAACTTTCCTTTGAGGATAAGTGTGATAAAAATGGAAAACAAAGACAAACACATACAAAGATAGTATGAGAGGGAAAGAAGGACATTTGAAAATCACTTATTTTAATTGAAAAATTAACACTGCAGATACACAATTTTTTTTTTTTTTTGCTAGGGTTTGTGGCAATAGTTCAATAGCAGGCTATCCGGAATATGAGTCTATTTTTATGAATTGTATGGATGGCAATGGTAGGCTATATATATATATATACACACATATATATATATATATATATATATTACTAACTTGCCCCTTCTAGACTTGCACTCTATTTATTTACTAACTGCTTGCTTTCTTTAAAAAACTTGCTTCTCTAATCTTTTTGCATTCTATTTGTTTTCTTTTTATTATACAATTATAATTCTGACTTTCTGATTTCTGATTAACAAAAGCAAAAAAACTCTAACACTAGCTTGCTCTATACTTTATCTATTCTGTTTTCTTTTTATTTATTATATGATAAAAAAAAAAAAACTTTTACTTCTAGGCCTACTGCATTAAGCTTACTGAGACTTGTTATAGCACTTGCATGTCATTGCTCTTTTGTTGATTTTGATTGCTTCCATTGTCCTCATTTGTAAGTCGCTTTGGATAAAAGCGTCTGCTAAATGTAAATATAATGTAATGTACGTATTTATTTTTACCTCAAATGCTACAGGTCAAGAGTTCGAAATGGCTTATGTGTTGCATTGTTGTGATGACACATGACCTGTCAAGTGGTATGTGTGTTGCTTTGTTCGTAAAAAATACTATAACTGTAAAAATGTGTGATATGCTTCTGGTGGGACACGTCAACCGGTGGATTTTTGTCCTGCACTCAATGGATGGATGGCTACATTATGTTGTCATGTAAATAATTGCTGAGTGACATCACGCACACCTCAAATTACAGCAGATTCGCTGCGGTGTTGAGGAAAACCTCCTATGATTGTGGATGCCTCACTGTCACAACACTTTACCATGACCACAAACCGTCTTAAAATGAACGCCAAAACCACCTTTCTTTCATATTTTAATCAGAGAAAACATCATGTTTACTGTTTACTACGCCAGTCGCTACAGTGGCGCATGGATGTCCACTCTACCGAGAGGTATTCGCATGTATAATTTACCGATTTTCCGTACTAGTATATCCCACTACTACACTGTGGGGAAGTCTAAAACATTTTGTCTAAGCAGAATTGTATCCTATAGGCTATACGTAAGACAAAGCAGCGGAGGTTTTCCCTTTCCCACATGAATTCAATCTACTTCAGATGCAAAGACTTGTGGACTCTGTACAAATATTGCTGCGGTGCTCAAGCAAAAGAGCGCAGCTTCTTAAAGAGACAGTTCAGCCAAAAATGAACATTCTGTCAATTACCCACTCCAGTGTTGTTTTAGACTTCAGAACACAAAAGAGATGTTAGACAAGCCACCACCGACTTTTATTGCATATTTCCATAAAATGAAACTGAATGGTGACTGAGACAGACATTCTGCTTTACATCTACTGACAGAAACAAAGAAAGTCATACAGGGTTTGTATTGTAATAATAGGAGGGTGAGTAAGTGTCCTATTAAAATGACTAGACTAATTAAAACACACAAACAGACACACGCAAACATTTATGAGAATTAAAATGTAAGCTTGGAATGCCAGTTTGTAAAAAAGATAGATGAAAGATTTATGCTTTAAATGCTTATTTCCAATACCCGCATCCAATATGTTGATTGATCACTTCGGGGAGGGTGCAGGTTGTTGCACGTTCAAATGAGATGCAAGAGTCTATAACCCCTGATACTGCTGCAATATGACTGTGCCAGACTGTGTCACCTGAATCTATTATCTCAATGTAAATGTCAATGTCTATAAAAAAATATTAAGTAACTGAATGCTTTACCGTTGGTTGAAACTCAACAGTTTGTTCGCTGCGGGGTCTGCACCGCTCATGGCCCCATGCGATGTTATTCTCTCCCGCAGTCCAAGTTCTTCTGTCCCTAGCCTTTTTTCTTAGTCTTCTCTTTCAAAGAGACAGATCAGTAAGCGTCATTTTCCCTACAGCTGCTCGTGCTGCTGTATCCCTTCATTGCGTTGCCTTTAAGTATAGTGGAAACGCGTTTCTACCGGTCCCTTTCTTAATGCACCTGATGGTCGCAGTGGTGAGTTTCATATGGACACAGGACACACCTCGCGCGTAACTGAGCATTCAAGAAGCAGATTCTCGTAGACTGGAGTCCCCTTACGGCCGCGCGCCGTGCTCGTGACAGAGAGAGTCAGGTGGGGAGCTTGTTAACTACAAATATCTCTCCCTTTATGTGTGTCAGTGTTGCGTTGCCAAATCAATAGACCAATAGCAAAATGATATAAGACGAGAAAATATTAAAGAATGAATGACACTAAATTAAAGCTATAAAGCCAAATAACATAAAATGCAACATAACACTCCAGTGCCAATTATAAGACGAAACATTCTTCCATTCTTCATATATATATATATGTAAACATATACAGTGGGTACGGAAAGTATTCAGACCCCCTTAAATTTTTCACTCTTTGTTATATTGCAGCCATTTGCTAAAATCATTTAAGTTAATTTTTTTTCCTCATTAATGTACACACAGCACCCCATATTGACAGAAAAACACAGAATTGTTGACATCTTTGCAGATTTATTAAAAAAGAAAAAAAATTTAAGGGGGTCTGAATACTTTCCGTACCCACTGTATATTGCACTGTTTTGCAGTGTACAAATATACAAGACAGGTCTCTCTCTCTCTCTCTCTGTCTTACACATACAGAAACACAATTGGAATATTTAATTGCCTTTGTGGCAAAGTGATTTAAAGTCAAGTCAAGTCAAGTCACCTTTATTTATATAGCGCTTTTAACAATACAGATTGTGTCAAAGCAACTGAACAGCATTAATTAGGAAAATAGTGTGTCAATAATGCAAAATGACAATAGTAAACACTAATTTAAAGGGTGAAAGATTATTATTAATCGAGTGCATTCACTGAAATACTGAGCATCTTTTTATTACAACAATTTCCTTCCATGTCTGTTCGTTTTGCTGTCAACATCATTTTTTAAGGCATTTACAGTCACTGCCTATGGTGCGTTGAACAGCGTGTAAAGCTACCTGAGATCAGCATGCTGTAGAGCCAGACAGCTTCTCATTAAGACGCTCATTTACATCAGGCTTGCATGATTTTTAATAATGTCACAACTGGTGACTGTGACTTACAGCTGCTTCATCATGGCAAAGGAATAACAGTCTTCACTAGTTCTGTATGCAAACGCATTACTTTATGAGGTGAGTCCATGCAAATGAGGATAACCGTATTTCCACTGAAAAAGGCAGAGCATTAGCCATATGTGTTTGCATGCATGTGAAATGTGACTGTGTGCATGTTTTGACATCTGTCTTCAAGGACGCTGTGCACTTTGCATTCACACCATCCAGAAATGACAAGCATCCCTCCTCCTGTGTATGCGTTTCTAGACAGTTTTTTTTTTTTGCCCTTATGATCTCATAACCTTCATTTTTCTTCCTGTTGTCCCAGGTCTACCCATAATCCTTCTGTCTAGAAGTGAGGGGCGTAATGAGGTCATTGTTCAGACAATAACCTTTTCTTCTCATTTAATTTCTGGACTCACCCTCACTGACTGATGATGTCACATACTCAGACACATCTCCATGCCTGCTCTGTTCATTACACACCTGCACCTGCAGAACATGTAACTCTTTAAATACTAGACAGTTTGTGAGACAGAGAGAAAATTAGATTATGAGAGTCTTGAGTATATTAAGTAATACGAGAATCCTGGGATATGTAGTAGGAAGTGGGCGGAGACTTAATTCCAGACTGTTTAATGCTCTTCATCAGTATTACTAGCAGAACAGCATGTTATCAGACAAACTGAGGCCTGCAGTAATAGACTCCACCACAAAGTAACATGAGCAGCGTGTATCTGGTATGTAAGTCCCTCCCTGATCACATCACAGGTAGTAATGGATCATTGAGAACAGGTAATGAATAATTTTGGAAACCTATATTGAGATTAAATTGAGATGTGTGATTAAAACATGTGTTTGAGGTTATAAAGATGATATTTTGAAAGAACTATTGTACACCTGCACAACTATTGCCTGGAAACTGAAGAACAGGGGAAATCAAGCCATGTACAAGTAGATTTGTACATAAAATCAAGCCGAGCATTCGTGCTGTGTTTTTGTGCTGAAGGGTTTGTGTTCAGGTGTGTGTGTGTGTGTGTGTGTGTGTATTTGTAACCTAAACTCTTTTGTCTTGAGGCTTGTGGGTATTATAGCACCAAATGAAATGTGCGGTTGAGCACCTCATTGTCAACATAAGAGTTCAAATTACAGGTGTTGTAATCATATACAGGTCCACACACACACTTCACAACAATACACACTGGGTATTATAGCACCAAATGAAATGTGCGGTTGAGCACCTCATTGTCAACATAAGAGTTCAAATTACAGGTGTTGTAATCATATACAGGTCCACACACACACTTCACAACAATACACACATACAAATAACAGAGGAATATTACAAAACAGTTAAAACCATAATGAAATTTTTCGACTAAAGTAGCAGACACAGAACACAGATGCTAATGACTAAAAAAAAGACAGGTGCAAGGTAGTCACATCAGAAACAGCTAGTGTTTGTAAAATTTAGCACATGATTGCAGGGAGAAAAGCAGCAGATGAATAGCACATTAGACAGGACTGTGTGTGCGTAATTGTGTCATTGTTAAAGAGCTACGCTTTGCATACGTGGTCAGGAAGAGTGAAGCGATGGAATACTGAAGCAGATCAATGTGTTTGTGTGTGGAAGAGGGGGTCGTGTGAGCAAGCTGAAGTACAAATCAATCTCCAGTAAAGTGTGGATTATACATGCACATACATCAACATGGAAACACATTATTCATGTTTAGTTAGAATGCTTTATTAAAACCTTTAAAACCTTTAAATAGGATATAATTGGGAATCATACTTTTAAGACTCTAAAAACAGCCTTTTAGAATTTAAATGTAAATTTTTTGATAGCAAATGGGGGAAATGGCACTTAGTTCCACAACTTTCTGATGTCTGAATTGAACAAATGCGCACACATGCCTGCCTACATTTACACATCAACAATGCCTATTCGCTATTCAGAAATTTGGCCCGAAACTTACTTTCTAAAGAATGAAACGTTAGAAACCTCAGTGTGAAAATTTCACATGCAAAGAGGAGATTTACATATAAGTCTTACAGGCACTGTACTGATCGCTTCCGTGTTTAGCCTCAATGGCCACCACATGTAGCATGCTTTATTAAATTAAGCAATATTGCATAAGAATGAGTGTGGAATATCAGCCCAGATGTGATCGCACAATAACATAGGACAGATATTTCCCCTCACTGCTTGAAGCAATATTAGCTCAACAGCAAAGCTTCTGGCCAATATTTTTTACTGTGCCTCATCAGATATCATATGTGCTACTGCAAGACCCTTGGCAATTCCTTTTTTTGTAAAACATGACCCTTTTGATAAACCAAAAGATATTTTGCCTCAGTTCAAATGTTTTGTATCAACAACATGCAGAAGACTGGTTTGACAAGCCCGTTACTAATCTCAGGTCCCTCCAAAAATATCAGATGAATGGGAGAGCACAGCTAGATTCTGATCCCTAATTCTTTGTCTTGATTTGTAACTATCGGACACAGAACTGATCCAAGTACAGGCCATACAAATAAACTTTCTGAAACGGAATTTCTATATGCATACAAATTGAATCTATATTTGTGTTTTCATACATACAAATTTAATCTATATTTGTGTTTTCATACACACATATAAGACCTGCTTGGCTTCAGCTAGTTTATGCATCTGGTAACATGCAAACATTAGATCTACACACTTCTGTTCAGCCAAAGTAAAAGAAGAAACATTGAATGGGTTCATCCTATTTAAAATGAATACAATCAGCAAATTAAATGCATTTTTTGTGTGCTTGGCTGTTAGCAATTTAAATAATGTTTATACAAACTGTAGGTAGATATTATTATTTTTCCCACCAATAAAACCTTACCTATCAGTGTTCTGATACTTTAAGCAGATCATGGGCAAGTCCCTGACGTCTTCTGGGGGTTGCGGAAAAAAAGCTCAAAATGGCAAAGTTGAAATCCTTGCAAAGGTAAAGATGTCAGTCCTCATTACAACAGAGAAAAAGAGAGAAAAATTCTTAATATCCTCAATGCTCATCAACAGGATCCTCTCGAGTCGACTGAAACCCTTTCACCACTCCCATCATGCATGTTGTGGACCATCAGAAGATTTTCTTCATAAATAAGTGTAGGCCGATAGAATAACTGTGTGGGATGTGAGCTGTGCTATTTGTTGGAGTATTTGTTGTTGTCTGTGTACCTGAGAACTAGAAATGTGTTGATAGGAAATCCTGTAATGCCACACCATTGATCCTCTGCTCTCACTCACACATACCTTGGAGAGCAAAGATCGAGTGGGCTCAAAATCACATGAACATATTGTGTGTTTGCTTGCCAAGTACAGACTTAAGCACAGCATGATCTTTTCCCACATAGATCAGCCTTCATCACTGACATCATGCTATACAAGATCAGCATTTTGCACTATCAACAAAAACACTTCTGCTCCATTTCGTATTGAGTATTCCAAACATTTGCTAGATTCTGGTTTGCATAGAAACTGGTTAAATGATTTTTATTTTGGGGTGAAAAAAGCAGGAATAATGGCATCAGTAATAACAAAAATACTGACTATTCAGCTTAAAATGGATTTGCTTATAGGCTGATTTTTATAATAATATATCATTACTTGTGTTGAAATTTTCTGTTTGTACAAAGTTCAATTAAAGTATCATCAATGCATTCAAATTGATTGAGACCCTTTTTTTGGCGGAAGAAAACAATGCAAATGCAAACATGCAAACGTGCTTAGGATAATATGCTAATTTTATGATTATACATGCATACATGTGTCTTTAGAATATATATATTTTTTAAATTATTATATTAGTCATGATATGTTATGTGGCAACATTTAGAAATACTGTATCAATAAGGATGATATCTGTAAATTTTAGTTTAAACAATATGCTAACTTACACTGAAAACATTAAAGGGGTCATATGATGCGATTTCAATTTTTCTT